AATATTTGGATATAAGAAGATAATCAGGAGTTTCCTGTATAGTAAGTACAAGCATACGAAAGAGCTGAGTTAGAAATGGATTACCTGAATAAGAAAACTAAAAATGAATAAAAACTTGTTTATATATGATAAGAAGAGAGGAAGAAATCAGGTTGATTTAGTAATAATGTCAATAAAAACCAGACTGTCAAAGGGCAATATAAATAAATTTTTAAAAAAGATAATTTTGCAAATGAGCTGGGTTTTCTTATGTGTATTGTCAAAGTAATTCCTTTTGTTGAGATATAGGATAAAGTGGTGCCCACGTGTATAGAAACACATATTCTATCTTAACAGCCCACGACACTCAAGGCAAATGTTCATTCTCTGGAACATCCTTTAGATAAACAATGAGAACACATGATGGATTGGAAAAAAGCGATGTTGATACATACAAGAGTGATCGAGAAGTGTATGGGACACCTCTGGAGACAATGTCAGTATAAGGAAGGAAGGCAAGAACCCTCAATCGGTTTTATGTAGTTTTCACAAAGTAGATTTTTATCATGCCATAAAGTTATTTAAAAACACATAGGAGGCAAGAACACAATATTTCATTGATATCTACAATTTGATAATAGTTGATCCTAATTTTGTTTTGAAGAGACTTCCAGGGGTGTTGCTTTTGTAGCACAAGTGCAGTGAAATCATTTCAACTAAGTGTAGAGAGGGAACGCTTATGTGATACATTCAATTGGCAGACTGCAGAAAGTTAATCAGCGACTTAATTTTGAAAAAATGCATTCCATTCAAACTTCCCTCTCAATAGCCAACTTGCATGCTGGGCCTTGTGTGTACAGCCTTGTAAAAGCTTTTCAAAACTTTTCACTACACGTTTGTTTGTGGTAGGGTTGGTTCAGTAGGACATGCACTGAAAGAATCTTTCATTTCGCTGTTTGGGACTGTCCTGCACATCATAGGATGCCCAGCTCGGCCGCTCTCACGGAGTGGTCACGGGCTGATGGGACACCCCCAGGGCAGGCCCATCCCCAAGAAGAACAGCAGTCACAGGTGGAGCAGGAAGTAGACCTGCTGCTCATCGAACGGTCACCCTGGAGGCCCCTCTGGGCAGACTCGCTGTCTGGCTATGGAAGCGGGTCCCGGCGTGGACCTGAAAGGCTGCCCTGCCCGCTCACCGCCGGGTGAACGGGGTGAGAAACGTTCCTTTCAGGCCCAGCCGAGTGACAGCTTTCCGGACCGGGCCAGTCGCAGCGTGGACCGGGGTTTCCTTCGCTCTGTCTTCTGCAGAGCCGTTTCCTTCACCCGGGTCAAGCTGCCGTGGACCGAAGGACAGCCCCAGGCGCCCAGCCACGACCTCCTTTCGGAAAAGAATCCGTGTGGCCTTGCTGGAAGAGTCTGACCTCGGGCCTCTGGAAGCCACAGGCCTCAGCTGTCCTCCCCTCTCTGGGGGCAGGGAAGTGGGCCTCCCAGCGCGGTCAGTGGCCGGGCCTGCCGGACCCGGGTCACGAGAGTGCTTCCTTCACACCGGGTGCCTGCGTGTGCCTCAGCGCTCACGCCTCATCCCTCCGACGCTGCAAGGGTGATGTGGGGTGCAGAGGGGGCGCCTGCAGAGTGGAGAGAAAAAGGAAGAAGGAAGAATGAGACGAGTCAGTGAGACCAAGAAAATGAGGAAAACGGAGTTGAGAGCTCATACACGGGGGCGCCCTGCAGTCTCGCTGCCCAGTCCTTGCTGCCACCCAGACTTCTCTGTGGGCTCTTCCCGCAGCTGCCAATGTTGGCCGCCAGGTCCACAGCACGTAGAGTGTGGCTCGGCCAACGGCACTTGAAGACTGGATAATGGCAGACAGACTGTTTATCCATCTCTGGGACCTGGAGCAACCTCAAGAGTTGCAAGTGGTTGCCTTGTTGCAAGAGTGTTTCTGAAGGTCCTCGGCGTCCGACCCCGCTCTGTGCTTCTGGGAACAGTGGCACAGCTGTCCAGGGCGACGGGGACCCCCTGGGGGGCGGAACTGACCAGCAACCCCAGTTTGCTCTTCTCAGAGAGCCTGAAACATGCTGGGAATTTGGGGTTCTGTTCTCTCTTTCAAAGGGCCTTTTAGGGGCAACGGACAGCAAACATGGACCATGTTGGGCCACAATAGCCCAAAAGGATGATGGCTGTGGTTGTCAATTTCGATAGGACTCTATTTCTATATCCAACTGTGTGTGCACAGCCAGGAGGCATCTGCTGCAGGGCTGAGATGATGAGCTGGATCCGCGCCCAAACAGGACTGGAGAAGCAGGCTTGCTCTGAGGACGGCTTGCCTCCCAAGAGTTGTTGTTAAGAAAATTCTTTCTCCACAGGCAATATCTGCTCTTAAGACATTAACACTTAGACGAAAATAAGGCTTGGGACCTGTGTCATGGAACACAGGGCACGCGCCCGGTAGGCTCTCCGTGATAGCGTGCCGACGGAAGGACTCTACGTGTTTGTGTGAGCACCTGGGGGAAGGGGGTCAACAGCCCAGGAGGGAACTGCACACCCTGGAGCCCGAGTGCCAGGGCTCTTCCTCCCTAGCGAAGGGCATAGCACAGTGCTGGCCCTCGGGACGGCTGAGATTCTAGCACATTCTGCCCTAACCCTGTACTACACCTTCCCCGGCCACCTTCCCAGGCAGGGGCGTCAGAGTTGTTTACGCCTTGAACAAAAATGGGAGCATTAGTGAATGAGGCCAGCATCCTGTGTGGTCACAAAAAAGGAAATGGGTAGAAAATGCATCATCCAAGTTGTGTCAACTTGGCTCTGTGGCCTGGGAAGGTTCCCAGGATGTCCAGCCAGACACAGGGCCTCTGGGAGACGCAGGCTAGGATACGTGTGATGACAGAGAGTGTAGTGAGGAGCAGGGTCACGGGGGCTCAGCAGAGGCCACCTCAGACCCCAAACCAGTGGCACACACTTTGCTTGCCATCCATTACATCTAGGCCAATCCCAGGGACACTGGACATCGGCCTGTTTTTTTTTTTTTTTTTGTAACGGACACGTTCTTTCTCTATCAACAGCCCGCATGGAACACAAGCGAAGCAATCCAGCGGTTTCCTTCCTATCCCACTGCGTGTCTGCTGCTTACTCATTCTGTGCTCTCTTTGCTTTGGATCAAAGTGTCTCTGGGTTCCAAAAGCTACCTTATTCTATTCAACTGCGTGTAAGCCAAGGTCCTGACCATTCTGGTTTTGTTGTTGCTGTATTTATTTAAAAGTTTAGCCATTTTCCATTCTGGGCAATTACAACTCTGTCCACTATGAGTTCCTCTGTGTAAATGTTTTCCTCATTCCCAACTGCAGGCTGCTGTGTGAGTGGTCACTTGTCCCCATATCACCGCCACAAAGTCAGGGGGTGATAGACCTGGGAGCCTTCACCTGAAGGTACCAGGGGAGAGAGGAAGAAGAAACAGATTTATGAAAGGGCCAGTGGACGGAATAGAAATAAGACCAAAAGAATATTGCTAAGTACATATAACCAGGAGAAAATATCACCTCATCTGCTTACTGCAGCTGGTATCATTAGGCAGAAAGGAGCTTATTCTGGAATATTTACTTGGTAGAAAATGCATCCTGTGGTCCCAGGACAAGACTGATCCATCCCACCTTCTCCTGTTCTCACAGTTCCCTCGCCTTTACCAATCACCTTCTTCTGGCCCTTGGGCTGAGCTCACAACTTAATTGAATAGTCAGGGTTCTTTCGGTTGCAAGTGACAGAAACCCAACTCATACTATCTTATTTTTATTTTAATATACTTTTTTCTTTATTGACTTCGAGAGGGAGGAAGGGAGAGGGAGAGAGAGATAGAAACATCGACGAGAGAGAACATTGATTGGCCACCTCCTACACGCCCCCCACTGGGGATTGGACCCACAACCTGAGCATGAGCCCTGATCAGAAATTGAACTGATGACCTCTTGGTGCATGGGTCAATGCTCAACCACTGAGCCACACCAGCCGGGCAACTTACACTATCTTATCCAAAAAGGGACTTTATGGATTTATGTGTTAGACAAGATATTATGAAAGTTCCAAGGTCAAATAAAAAATGTAAGAAGCAGGACCATGTAACTGGAACCAGGATCCCCCAAACCCCCAACCTCTGCCCCACAACTATCACCTCTGCTTGCTGTCGGAACGCCCTGTGCTGCAGACCGGAGCTCCATGTGCTATAGGAAGATGCCCCTACGTAAAAGTTGCATATTCTCTTCCTCCCAGTTCAGCGACCTATAGGAAAACCTTTTTCTGGAATTATATGTGAGGTGGGGCTATTAGTCCAAAAGACTAGAGTGCCCGATTGGTTCTGAGTCTGCGTGTGGCCCGGGGCGCAGGATCTAGTGCCGGAAGGGAGGCAAGAGGGAAAAATCATGCCTGACAGTGAAAACCAGCCCTTTCCACAGCCCTCTACACCCCCCATCACAAACCTTTCATCTGAGGATGAAAAGTACGGGGGCCCTAAACCTGACCTGAAATGTAACAGCGAGCTCAGTCCTACCTGGAAAAATAGCCTGTCAGTCACTTGGCAGACCAAGAGGTCACTTGTCTCCTGAGTGTCTCCATGATCAGGAGCAGATGTGGAATCAGCCTCTCGGGCTTCATTCTCAGCTCCGCCCTCTCCTATTGAGTTATGCTGGTTAATGCATCTCCCTGCCCTTGGTTTCCTCATTTGACAAGGAAGGATAGTGCCCCTCTCACAGAATGTCCTCAGCATTAATGGGGCAGTTTGTGTGGGGTCAACTTGTTAGAGAAGGGTGGCTAGTGAAACCATGAAGTCCCCGAGGGTACCAGCGCCTTTCCTGGTGCTGGACACTGGCTTTCATGTAGGAATTTCACAGAGTTTCTTGGGTCGAGTGGGACCCCCCCCACCCGCACCGCTGTGCTAGGAAATGTGCTGACTCAGCATCATGTCCCAGGCACACCGCTAGGCTCCCAGACTTCATCCTCTTTGAGTTCCTCTCTCACTCTCTCTCTGCACATTCAGGAGTGTACACATTTCTGTCCAGCACCCTGAAGTCTCTGGAAGAGAAGGACCATATCCACCGTGTCCTGGACAAGATCACAGACACCTTGATCCATCTGATGGCCAAGGCAGGCCTGACTCTGCAGCAGCAGCACCGGCGCCTGGCCCAGCTCCTCCTCATCCTCTCCCACATCAGGCACATGAGGTGAGGCATCCCTGGGTCCCCCCCAGAAGACACCCAAAGCAAACAAGCCCCCGAACATGCATTACAGCTGGCCCAGGGAGGGCGGTGCCTGGGTGCGGATCGCACACTCGGAACAGTTCCGGGCATGTAAGAAGCATGACTGCGTTGGGAGGAGGGGAGAAGGAGGCCTCAAGCCTGTCTGGACAGAGGGCAGGTGTCAGAGAAAGCTTCCTCGAGAAAGTGGCATTTACACTCAACATGAAGCACAGGCAAGGTCTTACAGCGGGAGGGTGTGCAGTGTGCATGTCGGGGGAGGGGACACTTTTGGTCATTTACTTTGTCCCATCTAACCAAGGGAAGTCTGCGAGGACACCCGTCCTCTGAAGGCTCTGGGCACATCCCTGTGCTTCCTCATCATCATCTGACTTCGCTTAGAAATCCCAAGTGGGAGACTGTGCCCAGATGCCTCGTGAGGGTCAGTGTGGACTTCTCCATCCCTCTCACCTCTCTTCTATCACCTCCACTGCAGTGCCCTAGTCCAAGCCCCGTCATTTCCTCCTGGATTTCTGCACCAGACACCTACACTTCCTGCCTCCAGTCTGATCCTTTTAAATCCATTCTCCGCTATTGGAGAGTGACCATCCAAATAGCACATCTGACCACGTTGTTCACTTACCTGAGACCTTGAAATGGGTACCTACTGCTTTCAGATAAAAGTAGAATCTCCCTCTTTTGCTTATGTTACTTTGTTATGTTCTAGCTCCTATTTAACTTTGTAGCTTCCTCAGAGTCTGAGCTCTGGCCACAAACGACTGTTCTATGAGCCATGGGGGAGTCTGCTTCAGGCTGGGAAGCTCTGTTTACCTCCGCTGGGCCCCCTCACATGCCTGTGTGTCCGCTGATTGAGGCTGGACGTGTCTGGGAGGTGGCTTCCAACTCTGGCCTGCAGGTCAGTCGGGTGCCTATGTCCCTTATCTTCCTGTGTGCACAGATTACCCAGGACATACTATTTTCACAGCAGTGGCTGAGACATGAGAAAGCAAGGCGGGTTGGATAAGTACATTTTAATCTTTTAGTTAAGTCGTGCCTACTGACATTCTGTTGACTGAACAAGTCACATGACAGAGCCCAAAGTCAAGACCATGGCCACATGGCATGGAGACTGCATATTTCTGAACAGGAAGCTAATCTGTCACAGCTTCACGGTAGCTCCTTGCAGGGAGTGTGTCCTGACCCTGAAGACCTAGTTGGGACTTAATCAGTTCTTCCTGGTTGTTACTGGCCATTGTGTTATCTTTCTTCCCATTAGACTGCAACCTGTCAGGCAGCTATCACGATCCGCGTTGCATACCCTGTGTACCCCATACCACCGAGCACAGGGCTGCCCATTGTAACCACTCAATACTGGAGCTAAGGACGGGTCTCACCAGAGGAAGCAGAGCCTTCCAGTTACAGACAGCGGCCTCATTTCCATTCTAAATAGCATGTAAGCTGGTTGGCCAGAGGCGTAGTGGATACTGTTCTCATGGAAAAAAATTCAGCCTGCAGGGAAGAGATGAAGAAAGTGGTAGATTTTTCACCCCACTAAGGCCACAGAAATGAGGTGCAGTGATGACAGTAGAGGGCAGGTACCCATGTGTGACCTCGGGCCTACACCAGGACCGGAGGAATGAAAAAGAGAGTCCTCTTCTTAGTGGTTGTAAGGAAGGGCCAAGAGTCTGAAAACGTCAGATTACATTTTAAGGGGCTTTCAAACCTTGAGGCTATGGGTCAAGTGGCAAGAAGTTTGTCCAAGAAAGTCCCAGGCACCACCCTATCTGGAGACAACCTTGCAAATTGTTAGCTTCTTGAGAAAATAAATGTATCTGTTACTTTTGTATCCCCCACAGTGCCCTCTATGAGATAATATGCATCATATATGCTCACAGCGTTATTACTAAGTGAATCAACGAATGAACAAATTACTTGAGTATTTCCCTGACCCTCTGAATTTGAAATCCCCAAACAGTGGTTTCCACTGGAGTCACCTTGGTCAGGAAGAGTAGGTGACCGCCTTTGGAGTACACATTTCCGCACCTTTCCCATCTGTTTCTTTGGATGAATATTACAAAGAGAGGGGTGGGGAATGCGCCAGAATAAACTCCCCCTTGAAGAAATGTGTTAAATGGGTTTCACTCTGAGCTAGGGATTTCAAAGATGTTGTAGAAGCCATTTGTTGTGGCTGAAGATTTTTACTTGTTGGTAGGAATCACTGAATTTTCAAATCTGTTAACTGCCCTTTCAGCATTAGCAAACCTAGTCAGTTAACAGCAAATATACCTGAAGTAAATGTACAGGCCTTGCTAGAAATGTGGGGTTCAGGGCAGCAGCAGTGAGAGGCTCCCCAGAGCTTCTGCTCCAACTGTGGGAACAGTTGGAAAGAAGTTGCTATTGCATTGAAAGCGTTGAGCATTTTCTGTCTCTCTCCTTCGCTGGGACACACACAGGCACACACACACATGCACTCATATTTGGTGCCTCATTACACTCTATCTGCACACAGAACTCTGTTTTGTGAGACTTGAGCCCAGCCCTCTGTTGTTACTCGGAGAATTTGACGCCAGGTTTCATCTGCCTGAAGACGTGCTTCATGAGGTTGCATGAGCCACAGGATCAGAGCCGGTGGGGGCATTTCACTTGAAGGGCATTTTAAATTCAAACAAACAAACAAACAAACAAATGCCACTTGAACCCATACCTTAGGTTGTTGTCTTGTAAGTCCCGGACAGCTGGGAGGCTGTGTGTTCATGGCAGGTCTCCAACCGGTGCTGACATTTCCCTACAAAGAGTGCAATTATATTCCAGGACATTGTCTTGGTCTTGCCTACTCATGATACTTCTTAAAATTTCGAGAGAGATAATAGCTGTTCTATTTTTTTCCTCGTAGTGTGGGGGGGACAGAGCAGGGCTGGTGCTGTTGGAGGAGGGCCCAGGCGGAGCGTGGAGGAGGAGAAAGGTCATGTGCTCACGCCTCCCTGTGCCGAGTTACTGCCTGGCTGGTGGACATTGACCATGTTCTCGCACGGTTGTAGCCTGCAGGATGAGCAGATTGCTGCCCCTGTGGCACGTGCTGTGTGTGTGCTGGTGTGTGTGTGTGTGTGTGTGTGCGCGCGCGTGCGCGCGCATGCTTGGGTGGTCAAGAATACATATAAGTACAGACACACATAAAGAGAAGAATTTCAGGAAGGAAAAGAGAGTAGCATCAAAGGGGTGGTTGAAGTGTCAGGAGCTCGAGGCCATGGCCATCGGGGGGCAGAAGGCCTTCCAGGGGAGGCGGCTTTTCGAGACCTGAGGGAAGTGCACTCCAGGCAGGAGGAACAGCAGATGCGGGTACCCTGAGTCTGGAAGTAAGGAGAGCTTAGTTTCTTCAGGGGCGCCATGGAAACCAGGGTGCCAAAGACAGTGTGCTTGGGGAGAGGCAGGTGGAAGACGCGTCCGTCGGACCTTGTAGAACATGGAAAGAAATTCAGATTTTATTCTTAGTGAAGTGGGAAGCCATTTGGAAGTTTTCAGCAGGAGAGCTTCTTGAACTGTTTTCCCCATTTGAAAAACGCCCTCTGACTGGGCCGTTGGTCTCATCTGCTCTCTGCTGAGATGTAATGCTGACAGAAGGGAATCAAATCTCATTCGAGTCAGTGGGAGGAGGCCACCTGAAAGAAAATCCTAAAAAGGCTCTTTAAACAGGAAGAAAGATCACTATGTGTCTTGGGAGTTTTTACTTCTGCAGTTGAGCAGGAGTTCCAACAGCCCTGGGGTTTGCGATGTCTAACGCGGTCCTGTCTGTCTTCCCACCCGCAGTAACAAAGGCATGGAGCATCTGTACAACATGAAGTGCAAGAACGTGGTGCCCCTGTATGACCTGCTGCTGGAGATGCTGGATGCCCACCGCCTGCACGCCCCAGCCAGCCGCGGGGGCGCCCCCATGGAGGAGACGCACCAGGGCCAGATGGCCACCACGGGCACGACTTTACCGCATTCCTTGCAAACATATTACATCAGTGGGGAGGCAGAGGGCTTCCCCAACACAGTCTGAGAGCTCCCTGGCTCCCCCCAGGTTTCCGAGAATCCCCGCAGCATTCTACCCACGACATACACCACGATAGCAAAATTCTGCTCCTGAACACACTCCAGCTTGCAACCACCATGGCTTTATACCAAGTGGCCGTTCATCTGCTTGCTCAGTTCTTAGTGGCACGCCCTCTTTGGGGAACAGCCAAAGGGATTCCAGGGCTACATTCTTTGTAATAGCTCTCCCCCTCCCTTTGCTGCATTGCTAAGCATGAGGACTCCTGTAGCTTTTCAGGACCGAACTCATTCTCCGAGCTGGGGCTCAGAGGAGTCTGTGCGTTTCAGCCACCTGCTGGGAGCCAGGCCTGGAGCATGGGCATTTCACCTCCGTGAAGCACTTTTTAATGAATCTAAGCCACAGGAAATGATTGAAAGTGGCTCCTTTAACTGCTGACTTGGAGAAAGCTAGATCAAGGGTTTTTCTGGCATCCTCTTGTATTCCTATAGTAATGTATCCTTTCATTAAGGTAACACCTTAAAACTTTTGCTCTGTTGCTTTGCTGTAGCTGCAGATTCAGTGGCTGTCTATTCATTTTCCTATAGGAATACAAGATGCACACAGGGAAGGAAGACCCCCTAGTTGTCAAGACTTTGTCAACTTAATACACTGCACCTTCAGATTTGCTAAACACTCTTCTGCTGGCTTTTGAGAGCATGGTGTACAGGTCCTGGGATGCGGTTAATTCTTGCTTTCCCATGGACCTGTGGAGAACAGCAAGTTGATCCCAGTTAAGTCACCTCCACATCTACCAGTGTCCCTGTGAGGGATAAATTCTTATTTTTTAAAAATGTTCGTTTATGTTCTAAACAAGAGAGCCCTCTCCCCTGAGCACTTGTGGTTAGACATCAGAACCTGCTGTGCTGTGCGCTCACTTACAGCAGAGGGCGCTCTACTTGGCGCTTTCTGGTGTGTAACTTACAAGGAAGGGGGGATTCCTCATGTGTAGTGCCCCACCTATGACCAAAAGCACTTTAATGAGTGGGCACCCTAGTGACACGTTGAGCCCTGGGGCACTGGGCTAACAGTAAATGTGCGTGACTGTTGTAGGTGCTAGAGAACAGGGAAGAAAGCAGGGTAGACACTGGATAACACTGTGAGGCTCTGGGTGGCCCTCCCAGGAGTGCCACCCTGCACTGTGAGGCTGTCCTGGGACCCAGGGGCCCTCCTCTTCACCTCCCCACGTGGAAAGCAGCCGCAGTAGGCAGCTTTGTCCCTACAGATGGCCCAGCACACTCTGCGGCCAGGGTGGGGGTGGGGGCGAGGAGAGGAGCGGTCCCTACACAGACTATAGTGCCCTCGGTTATTTAGAGATCATCCAAAAATAAGGGTTTGGCCTTGGGGGGGAAACAAAGTCCCCCCAGAGCTCATTTCATTAAGCTCTGTGAGCCAGGAGAGTGCGACTAGAATTGAGCCACAGGAATCTACTGACCTATCGACGGAAAAAGAAAGTCTCACTGCAGCCAAGGGCAGGCTCCTCTAGGACCTTTCTTGTCCAGAGCAATTATGGGTTTCCTCTTCGCAGATGAAAAGAAAGTTTGGTTTCCTCCGGTGACCTCACTGTCGATAATTTGAACCCCATTGAGAGGTGATGTGTCAACCAATAACCCAGCCAAGCTCCTAGGGCGTCTCTGGGGATGCTATTTCAAAAAGTGAATTGTACTCATTTCTAACTGCCCAGCCAGTGGTCACCAAAGGACTGGGAACCGGGCGGGGGATGGGGGAAAAAAAGACATTTTTTTCCATATATGTGCATCTAAATTTGGGGGCTGTTTTATGTATCGTCATTAAGAATATGTTTAGAACATAATTCTTTTGTTCTTGTTTTGTTTAATAAGCACCTTATATAGTATAATATATATATTTTTGAAATTGCAATGCTTGTTTATCAGACAATTGAATGTAGTAATTCTGTTCTGGATTTCATTTGACTGGGTTAACATGCAAAACCAACAAAAATATTCACTTTTTTTGTATGTAGTCATTGATGCCTAAGGCCTGGTGATTATTCATTTAAATGAAGATCACATTTCATATCAACTTTTATATCCACAGTAGACAAAATAGCACTAATCCAGATGCCTATTATAGGATATTGAATGATAGACAATCTTATGTAGCAAAGATTATGCCTGAAATGGAAAATGTATTCAGGGCAGCTAATTTTGCTTTACCAAAATATTAGTAGTAATATTTTTGGACAGTAGCTAATGGGTCAGTGGGTTCTTTTTAATGTTTATACTTAGATTTTCTTTTAAAAAAATAAAAACAATAAAAAAAATTAGGACTATAGGTGATATAATACCAGCTACATCCAAACAATAGCACAGTGGAGGGTTTTACATTATTCATCTAATGTGTTTGTATTCATGTTAAGATGCTACTATGTTTGAAATGGGCAGAGACTACCAGATGGCTAGAATGTTAGCCCAGGAGTCTCAGATAATTCTAGAAATCTCTTTTGATTCCTTTTGAAGTGCCACTCACGGACAGCTGCCACTTCGAAGCTGATGTTGCTGTTGGGTGTCGCTGTGTTTTCCCCCACGATGAGGCAATTCAGTTTAAAAGACACGATTGGCCTGGGTTGGGGCCATGGATACTGCGGGCAAGTGGGTTCAGGAAGGTGGAGAGTGGGAAATACAGTAATAAGAATCTGGAAAGTATTGTGAGGCAGATCAATACTGGGTCTGGGGTATGCACCAGGGTTCAGATTTCTGCCCTGTAAACCACACATAACTAGCTCTATCCGACAGCCATGTCTACCATGACAGCTTGCATTCCAGGGAAGAACTAGCGACATCCTCAGTGCAGTCCAAGGACCGGGCAGTGGTCCGTGTTTCCTTCGGCTGTTGCTGAGCTCTAGGCTTGCTGTTCCGATTCTGTAATGCAGTCACACCAATCAGAGAGGCTGGTTCATCCAGAAAGAAGACCCCGTGTAGGTTGCAAAATCCCCAAGGAAGTGCAGTCTGTGTGTAGATTTCCTATCAACTCTGTATGTACATTTAACCAAGTCAATATCCCATGCCTTTCGGGGCTGAACACATATGAGACTTGCTGATAATTTACTCTCAGTCCCTTTCAGGTGTTCTCACCTGTTTAAATCTTATACATTGATGCGGGCCATTGCTTTAGAGTAACCCTACGTGGAACCCGTTCCAAATGTTTTCCTGTTTCAAATCTTATGCCAACTCCGAGATGGACTGTGCGTACTGGGAATGACCACCAGGATCAGAGTCATGTGTAGTATCCGAGGCAAATCTACTTCGGGAAACTAGGAGGCAGCCATGGTTCTCTTCTGAGCAAGTCTTGGGAGGAGGATGCAGGTCACACTGTGCCCTTCCTTAGGTGACTCCCTGAAAACGTTCTCAGCCTTGGCTGCAGCGAGTGAATTCAACTGTGGTTCCAAATGCCCATCTTATTGGTGTGACTGCTCTGTTTCTAACTGCATTTCTTTTCCTTTTGGATTAACGCGAGAGTGGCCTCTTTCGAAGTCCTTTTCAATTGTTTTCTAAGTAACTGCTGCCTCTATTATGGCACTTCAATTTTGCACTGTCTTTTAGATATTCAAGAAAAATTTCTATTCTTTTCTTTTGCATCCAAATGTGCCTGAACTTTTAAAATATGTAAATGCTGCCATGTTCCAAACCCATCTTGAGTGTGTTTGTACAGAGCTGTGTACCCTGGAGACAACATGCAGCGCCGTCGGCAGGTGCCTGAGACATGGACCCCTTTGCATTCACAGAGAGGTCATTGGTTAAAAAGACTTGAATTAATCAGTGACATTATGCCAGTTTATGTTCTCTCATGACTTACAAACAATGCGTTTTTGTGCACTACAGAGTCTTCAGTGCAGAGCTCTTGTTTTACGGGGAAAGGCTCAAATGCCAAACTGTGTTTGATGGATTAATATGCCCTTTTGCTGATGCATACTATTATCGATGTGATTCTGTTTTGTTGCAGCTTTGCTTTGTTTAATGAAACACACTTGTAAACCTCTTTTGCACTTTTAAAAAGTAAAGAATCCAGTGGGATGCTCAAGCACCTGTAAACAATTTTCTCAACCTATTTGATGTTCAAATAAAAAATTAGACAAAAGACAACAGGTATTTTTTTGTTTTGTTTCGTAAGCTTTGCTTCTTGCCAACGCTTCACCACTGATCACCTAGGACCGAGATGCTGAAAGGCATCTGTAGAGCACAGTGAATCCTGACCATCCATTGGACGCCAGGCTCCCCACCCACATCCATGACCCATCCTCTTCCAGGCACAGGGGAAAGTGTGTGGACACTGGGTCGGGCACACCTGCCTGTGCTCATTACTGACACCACAGATGGGCCTTATGGTAAAGCTTCTCTTTCCTCATCAATACAATGGTGACCGTAGCACCTAATTCATAGGGTGGATATATGGATTATATGAGGTGCTCATTAAAACTGTGGTTGTATCAACCCTTTCCTGTGAGAAGGAGGAAGCTTCAGAGTAATTCTTTATAAATGAATGAGCGGACGGATGAGTGAATGATCTGAAACTTACATAATTCACTGCAGAGCCTCTCCGCCCATCACAAAGGTAAGACTGAAATGACTGATACTCCCCGCCCCCACCCCCAGGTTTCCATTTCAGGGCTCCCTGCCCTACGCAGAGCTACCTGCACATTCCCTTTTGGCTGTTCTCCCGGTGCCGGTGCTCTGCCTGAGGAATTTGGAGGGAAGAACAGGGTGACTTACTGAGAAGCAACATAATACACACACAGGCTCTGCCACTTCCTGCGCGACCTGGGGCAAGAATCCTTGCTCTGCCACTTCTGTGCCTCACCTTCTTCACCTACGAAGGGAGGCAGCAGGGCCACCTGCCCCAAAGGGTGCTGGGGACCGCGGGTTAATCCCCGAGGGCACTGCAGGGCAGAGGCTGGCACCTGCTCATCTGTCCTCAGGCTTTATTCGTGTGAACTTCATTCCTTCCTGTTG